TGAAAGAACGCAGAGCATCCTATGGAATGCTAGGCACCAAGTGAGAAGAGCGAAGATGCCACAACAGCAAGTAAGCAAACCTGCATAGTGGAAGTCGCTCAGTGGTGTCTGACTTTTTGTGATCCCATGGATTAAACAAACAGTCCATGGAATTCTCCAGGCCAGAATACTGGAGTGGGTAGCAGTTTCCCTCTGCAGGGAATCTTCCCAAACCCAGGGATCGAACCCAGATCTCTCTCATTGCAGGCGGCTTCTTTACCAGCTGAGCCACCAGGGAAACCCAAGAACATTGGTGTGGGTAGCCTATCCCTTTTCTAGGGGTCTTCCCGACCCAGGAATCGAACCGGGGTCTCCTGCATTGCAGGCGGATTCTTTACCAGCTGAGCTACCAGAAAAATCTCTTGTTTTGAGCGGTAAAATGGTACTACTAAAAACAAGAAAGCAAAGGTCACACACAAAAAACCTACTACACGTTTTTTACGTGTAAGCTTATGCACGTAAACGCATTAAAAAACGTTTAAGAACAGACACCAACCTGATAACACAGGTCACCACTAGGAAAACTAAGGACTAAACCCCTAACTAGTGAACCCGGCATGGGCTCACTCTGGAAGGTTAGCGTGCAATTAGAAGGCTGACAAAGAACATCATAAGCCTCCAAGCCCTAACTTCCAGGGCCCCTCGTCCGAGGCCGCCCTCCCTCCGGCCCCTAGCGCCGGCTCCCGAGAGCTGACGCGGCCCACCGGTGTTGAAGCTGGGCCGGCTCCCTACTCGCCCAGGGTCCCCGGGGTCCGTCGTCGTCAGGGCCCCGCACTCACCAGACACGGGTGAAGGGTCCCTCTTGGGCTGGAGGCGACTGGTCTGGGGCAGGAACGGGTTGTTGAGCCTGGGAGATGCGGCAGGGTCAGGGAGAAGCAGCCCCGGGCCGCGGCGCCGCGCCCCCCACTCCCCGCGCGGCAGCTCACCCGAAAGTGTTGGGCTCTTCCACCACCTTCATCTTGGCGGCGCTTGCGGGCGCGGGCCCTGCGGGGAGCGAGCAGTGAGGAGGCGGACGGGCGGGCAGGCAGCGCGGGGCGGGGGCGCGGAGACCAGAGTGGGTGCTCCGGGACGGAGGCGCCGGGCTGGGCACTCACCGCGGGCCCCGAGCCCGAGCAGCACCGCCAAGCCCGCCAGCCTCGCCGCCATCGCTGCCGCGCGGTCACGTGGGCGCCGGAACCGGAAGTGGTGTCTAGGCCGCGCTCGGCGCCCTGCGGGCCGCTCCCTGGAGGCCTTCGCCGAGGAGGTGGGCGCCGCGCTGCGCGGTGAGTGGGGCGTGATCCTGAGGTGGGCCGGGGGTCGGGCCGCGGAGCCGCGCCTGAGGCCGGGTCCCCTTCTCTGCCTGCCGCAGCGTCCGTGGAGCCAGAGGCCCCTGAGGACCAGGGCGGCCCGGGCCCGGCGAAGCTGCCCTGCACGCTGGCCATGTGGGAGTTGGGCCACTGCGACCCCCGGCGCTGCACCGGCCGCAAGCTGGCCCGCCTGGGACTGGTGCGCTGCCTGCGCCTGGGCCACAGGTTCGGCGGCCTCGTGCTCAGCCCCGTGGGCTCCCAGTACGTGTCCCCCGCAGACAGGTAGGCTCGAGAGGACTGGGTGCGGGGAAACGGAGTGAGCCTGCCTGGACTCTTTTTAATTAGCCCCCAGCCCTGTTACATCTTTCCCTTCAGGGCCCACCTGTTTGTGTTGATGTGTCTAGTTGACCCCCGTTGCCTAGCACAGAGCCCAGGAAGTAGCAGGCTACAGTAAACACTTGTTGAGTGAATAAAAGCCTTATGGAGGAACAGCTTTCTTCCAACCGCCTCAGAAGCTGGGCCCATGAGAGTCCTTGAATGACACCCCTGAATCCCCAGGGCAGCCAGTTTCCTAGAACATAGCTGCCCTGGGGCCAGCACCAAGTTAAGTCCAGAGCCAAGCCCTTCACTGCTCTTGGCAGACACTTGGTGGCACAGTCTGGGGTCGCTGTCATCGACTGCTCCTGGGCCAGGCTGGATGAGACTCCGTTCGGGAAGATGCGTGGGAGCCACTTGCGGCTCCTGCCCCATTTGGTGGCCGCCAACCCTGTGAACTATGGCCGGCCCTGCAGGCTGTCCTGCGTGGAGGCCTTTGCTGCCACCTTCTGCATCCTGGGTGAGTGTCAGGCCTGGCAGCCTGGAGTCCGTGTGCTTTTGCTGCCAATCCCGGGAGGAGCCTGACCACGTGCTGGGCGGTGGCCAGGCTTTCCTCTCAGCTCCCACTTGCGTCCTCTCCCTGAGAGGCAGAGGTGAAGACAGAACGCACCACAGGCCTCCAAGCGCTTGTCAGGCTCTCGTCAGGGCACGACGGCCCCCAGAGCCCTGTTACCCCAACTCATCCCCTGAGAACTTAAGGCCCACACGGAGGCTCGGAGGGGCAGTTCCGTGAGACACCCTGTTGGGAGCGGGACTTGGTGGGCTAGAGGGCCGTAGGCCAGTGTTGGCGGGACTCTCAGTTTCTGGGAGGCGAGAGGGGCTGTCTACATCTCTGGGCTTCCTGCACCGACAGGCTTCTCAGACCTCGCTGTCATTTTGCTGCGGAAATTCAAGTGGGGCAAGGGGTTCCTGGACCTGAACCGCCAGCTTCTGGACAAATATGCAGCCTGTAGCGGCCCAGAGGAGGTGCTGCAGGCAGAGCAGGAGTTCCTGGCCCATGCCAAGGAGCACCCTGAAGAGGAGGAAATTGGTGAGGCCTGGCAGGGACACCTGCCCCCTGGGTGGGAGCCACGCCTGCCCCCTCCCTTGAGAAGCCCAGGGTTGGGAAGACCTTCCCGCCACAGCTGTGGGACTCCTGCTTCTATACTTCAGGCCACTTTCCTCCTTGATTCCTCCATTCAGATCCCTTTGATGTGGACTCAGGACTAGAGTTTGCAAACCCCAACCGACTGGTGACTGAGTCCCGGTAGGTCCCCTAGCTTCATAACAGCTAACCCAGGACTCTCTTCCACCTCTGATCTCAGCCCCTCCTTCTGCAGGGTGGGGGAGTGTCGTAAATAGCAGGATGGTTTTCTGACTGCAGAGAAGGGAAGCTGGAGGGGTTTCCACTTTGAGAGGACGGGGAGTAGGAATCTGTCCTCAGCTTGGGGGCTTTGGTGAGTGAGTAGGTGTGTCAAGGAGGCCAGTGGACATACCCCTGTCTCTCAGGCTGCCCAGAGATGGTGCTGACAGTGACACTGAAGATGAGTCTGAGGAGCTTGGGCCTGACCCTGATGATGGGGGAGACAGCAGCAGCAGCCCAGAAGAGGAGGAGACTGCTGAGCAAGGGGCTGAAGCCCCCACAGAGATTTGGAAAGGAATCAAGAAACGGCAGAGAGACTGAAAGTTCAGAGGTGTATTTTTGGAGGCGGAATGACGAGGACATCTGGAGACGGCAGTGCAGCTTGCGGGAACACAAACAAGCCTGGCGGCCTCAGGCTGTGCAGCTGCGAGCAGGACTGGACTCTGACCAGGTTCTTTCCTGGCGCTTCTTACCCAGTCTTGCTCTGGGTCCTGCCTCAGAGCCCTCCCAATGAAGCTGCAAGCCAAGAAGACCTCCGCGTGAGCCTCTGCTTCTCGGCACTCGGCCTGCGGGTGTGGGGGGCCCCTTGGCCTCTAATGAGACAGATCCTGCCTAGAGAGCCTGGGGTGTAGAGATGGGACCCCTGGGTAGGTCTTGTGTGGACGCTGTGCGTTCATGAAAAGATGGCCACACAGCTGGCCAGGTGGCATGGAGTGCCTTACACTAACCCAACCAGCCTGGCGTGACGTCCTCAGCCTCCAACAATGATCACAGAGGCCCCTCTCCTGGGCCTGTGAGCTGGGTGGGGACTGGAGACCTGTGGAGCTCTCAGGCAGAACCCCCTCCACATGCCCTCTTGGGGAGGCATCCCCACAGAAAGTGGGGGCACTGCAGGTGTTCACCTCTCCCTCTGAGGCCTGGATTGTCCAGACTCCAAACCTAGACCTTCCAGCTTCTCCGCTTAGGGAGACTCTGCCCCGACCCAGAGAGACCCAGGACAAAGCTCTTGCCTGGTTACATTTAGGGGTGGACCATTCTATGTTGGGGGGAGGGCTCATGGCAGTCAAACGACACTTCTAGCCTCTCCTCGCTGGTGCCAACAGTATAGCCATCACCCACTCACCGGGTGTGACTGATCCGCCCCCCAGAATGTCTCCAGGTGCTGCCTAATGTCCCCTAGGGGCAAGGCCCCCAACTGAGAGCCCTGCCCTAAGACCAGCCCCCCCCCCCCCGGGGGGGCCAGGGAACCTGAGGGGAAGTAGGAAGCTCACCTGGTGGCCAGGACTCGCCCAGTCGGCTGTCCAGATCCAGCAGGGTAGGGCGTACTGGGCACAGGGGTCACAGCACACACCGCACAGACGTGGCGGGGGCAGAAGGGAGCCGGGGAGTCCAGCCACAGAACACACCATGAAGCGAGGGAGGGTGCCACGGCCCGGCTGCACAGAGCTGACCACAAGGCAAGAACAGCGCGGGGACGTGGGGAGGGCTCGGCTCTCGCCCGCAGGGCTCAGGGGTCCGCCTCCATGTACTTCTCCAGCTCCCGGAGCCTCTTGACAAACTCCTGCGCCTCCTTGTTGGGGCGACCCTCCAGCATCCGAAGCGCCGACCTCACTGCGGGCGGGGGCGGGGCCGGTGTCAGTCCTGCCGGCCCCGCCCTCGCCGCTCAGTTACCCTGGACTCTGCAGGGGGCGGGGCCAGCATCAGTCCGGTTGGCCCCGCCCCGCCGGAAGCTCACTCACCTTGGGCTCTCGGCCGGCGCAGGTGCAGGGTGACCGGCTGGCCGGCCCTCGCGCTCCCTCCCACCTGGGGCCTCGCGACGCCGCTAACGCTGCCCAGGCCCAGGGCTGCCTCCCCCGCGAAGTCGTTGGTGGACAGCCAGTCATGGTCCATGACGGTGAACAGCACGCAGGCGCCACGGCGGCGGCAGGCCTCTTTGGAGCCCTGCTCCCCACTCTGGGCCGGCAGGGCGGGGAGGGACACTCACAAGTAGAAGAGCTCGTCGTACACGGGGTGCAGAGTCCGGCTCTTGACCTGGGTCCTCTGGCTGCGGACCAGCGGGAAAAGGTGCGGCGGACCCAGCTCCACGATCACAAAGGGGTCGCTTAGGCCTGGGGACACGGCTGTGAGCGCACCCCGCCGCCAGCCCCGCCCCGCCCGGTGGCAGCCCTACCCGACGCTCGCCCGCACCGTTGGCATCCAGGGGGAGCAGGTCGGCGGCGTGCAGCACCTCCACCGCCAGCCGCTGCTCGGCCGCCTCATAGTGGCAGCGGACGCTCAGGCGCCCGAACCGGTTGTGCTCCAGGGATCTCTGTGGAAAGGCCAGGAGGCCGGTGAGCCGAGTTCGGGGTCGTCGGGGGGCGGAGCCTCGTGAGCGCACCTGGGCCGCACTACCTGCTTGAGCTTGTCCAGGTAGTACTGCTCGATGCACTCCCGGGTGGAGCACTGGTGCAGGCGCAGCTCCTCCTCCAGTCTCTGCAGGGAGGAGGTGGCGCCTGGTGATGCCGAGCTCCTCACCGGCCCCATTTCACGCGCGGGGCAGGGCTGAACTCAAACCTGGGTCTCAGATGTCCGCCCCTCCCCCTTCCTCTGTCAGAGGGCCCAGGGCCAAACCTCACCTTGTAACTTCCATCTCTCAGGCTCTCCAGGGGCAAACCCTGGCCCTCAGCGTGGAAAAAGTTGACCAGTGCCTGGGGTGGGGCAAGAAAGGAGAGGTGTCAGGGGCAGGGTGACTGCTGGAGACAGAGAGTGGGAAGGAATGGAGCCTTAAGCAGCACCCGGCCTGGGCTGTCTGGAGCCTAAGGCAGAGCCACTCATACCTGGGCCGTATCAGAAGCTGCCAGGAAGCTTGGGGAAATGAGGGCACCTGAAGCCAGACATCTGTCATAACAGGTGGCCCAGGTGCTTCTGACTCAGCAGACTCAGGGAAAGAGATGCTGCCCGATGGCTTCCCAGAGGAGGAGTGTCTGGGCTGGGGACTGGGCCAGAAGGGGGCATGCAGCTGGAAAGGTCAGCAGTCTTATTGCCAGGGGGTGGGGTCAGAGGGGTCAGGAACCAGGAGTTCAGGCAGGAAAGGCTCTTCCATGGGGCCCTACCTCCAGCGTGAAGTGGAAGCGCCCGTAGAAGTCCGCAGACACGTCTCGGTTCGCTCCCAGAGCCTGCAGAATGGCCTGCAGCAGCAGCTCCCAGAGGGCCTCCAGCACCCTGCAGGACGCTCAGCATCTGTGACCCGACCACAGGCCGGGCCTGCTCTCCCCACCCGCCCAGGACCGTACCTGCTCTGCCCACCCGCTCAGGACCGTACCTGCTTAGATTTTCCTTCACCAGCGAGGCGTTCAGCAGAGCCAGCTTCTCGTCCAGGTACTTCAGGAGGGGGGCCACGGCCTGCAGGTAGGGTCCTCAGGCTGGGACTGGGCCCCAGTGCACACTCGCATTCCCTGCGAGCCCAAGCCGAGCTGGCCACACACTCACCTCGTCATTCTGGATGGAGTCGGGCGAGAGACTGACGTGCTGCACATACTTCCTGACGTCACCCACCATCTGCGGGAGAGCAAGAGAGTGGTGTTCAGCACCGTGGGGTGCAGGGAGGGCCGGCCGGCCCCCGCCCACCGGCCCTGCCACCTTGGAGGTCAGGTGTGCCGTCACGGTTCGGGCCTCCCGCTGCAGGTCCTCGTCCAGGGCCTGCGTGCAGCTGAGCAGGGGCCGTGGGAGTGTGCCCTCCAGCCCTGCAGCCCCCTCCGGCCACGCCAGGCCACGCAGTGCCTGGCCAGCAGCCTTGCGGAGGAGCTCCACGTCGTTGAGGACCACGCAGAGCTGGGGAGGTGTGACAGACGTGTGTGGGCTGGCAGCTGGGTGGTGGCCACCCTGGGCCTCCGCCCCCCACTCCTGTGCCCCCCCTGCTCACAGGCTCGCTCACTGCCTCTCCGGCTGCCCCAGGCTGAGCATCCACCTTCTTTCGCAGCAGCTCTGTGTAGAAGAGGGCGGCTTCACACAGGTCCTGGGGTGGAGGACAGGGGCTCAGGAGCTGTGGGCCATGTCTTTTCTGCACCCAGACCCTGATCTCCTCTTGGTGGGTAGTCCCCACCTGGCTGAGCTGGGTGCCTAGTGTCTGGGCCTGGGCGGGGTCAGGCCATGCCAGGCAGGCCCACAGCTCCTGGATGTGGCTGAAGCAGAGGCCGGCAGTGGCTGCGGAGCTGCTGTGCTTGGAGGAGGCATCCATGGGCTCCAACTAGGAAGCAGGAGGAGGCGCAGGTTGGGTGGGAGCCCAGATGAGCCCAGCCCCCTCAAGCCTGAGGGCTCACTCACTGTGTCCACCTCCACGGCTCCCTGAAGCCTCCACTTGGTTTGGTCCCGCAGCACCTGCAGCCAAAGCTTCACAGCGGGCAGGAATGGGGCGTGGATGCCGGCCAGGGCGAGGGAACGGCTGTCCCTGCAGTGGGAGGCCCATCAGCGCTCACCCTGATCAAACACCTTGAGCCAACATGTCCCAGGTTCCCAGCCTGCGGAGGCCCTGGGGAGACTGCACGGAGAGCCCCTCCAAGAGGAGACTGGAGGACAGGTGGGGCAGGGCACCCACCGGCCCGGAATGCTGCTCCAAAAGCGCTGGATGTCCGCCAGGGTCAGGTAGAGCTCAAAGAGCCCTGAGGCCACCTCCAGGGTCATCTTGGGGCTCAGCTCCTCTGTCAGCACCCAGGCCTCTTCAGCCACCTGCCCAGGAGGGTGGACTCAGGCTCGTGGCAACAAGGAACCCCAGGCCCCTTCCCAGCCAGGGGGCTCTCCCCACTCCCCCTACTCACCAGACGCTCCAGCTGCCGAAAGGTGAGGGTGAAGAAGTCGACCTTGATGATGCTGCAAAGGACACACCTCAGACACCTGCTCGCCCTGCTCCCCAGCCCAGTGGTGGCACTTTAGGGGCTGGGCGCAGGGGCAGCAGGGAGGGCCCTGGCCCCACCTGTGGAAGAGGCTGGCGTAGATGCCATAGCAGGACTGCAGGTCTTCGTAGACGGCGTCAGCCAGCTTGACCAGCCCGGCGAGGCGCTGTGGGCCTGGCTGCAATGAGGCCCAGCACACTGACCTTCTGGCCTGCACTCACCTGCGGCCCCTCACCTCCCCTGTGGCCACGCCCCCCCACTCTGCCACCACACCTGCTCACGAGGACTTTGGGTGTTCAGGAGCCTGTCAAACCATTCACGGTTGCCTCTCTGCAAGGGAAGCCACCGAGGAAGCATGTTGGGTGGGAGGGAAGGAGGGCAAGTGTGTGTGGTTCCGCAGGTCCAGCCCGAGGGCAGAGGCACAGGCAAGGATGGGCAGTTAGCTCAGACCCAGCTACCAGATCGCACCTTCAGGGCAGCAGCAATGTCCATGTTTAGCTCTGTCTCGAAGGGGCAGATCTCAAACGAAGGCTGGAAGATCTGCAGCTTACCAAGACACCTGGGCGAGGGGTTGCAGCTGACTGGAGGGTGCCCTACCCAGTCCCCCCACCCCCACCCAACCCCCGGCAAGCGGCTGCAGCCACCCAGTCCCCCAGCCCCAACCCCCACTGGCAGATGAGCGGCTGCACCCACTTCAACAGCAGCTCCAAGCGGTAGACGGCTGTGCTGTTACTGGCAGGGAAGTAGTCCCGGAGCTGTCGCAGCAGCTGAAGCCCAAACTCAGAGAAGGCAGAGAAGCTGTCTGCTAGGCCCTCCTCCTGAGGGACAGGGCCCTTCAGAACGGACTGCTGAGTGCCCGCTCCTCTGCAAAGCAGCCGGTCTGCAAAGCCCTGCCCTGAAGAGCACCCTCCCTACTATGGGCCTCCAACCCCACTGGCCTCGCCCTAGTGCCCTCTCCAGCCTCCACAGCGCCCCCTGGAGACACAGACGCCCCCAGGGCCTTCGCAGCACTAGCTGCGCCTCCTTCCATGCGGCCCACTCCCTCCGCTGCTCGCAGGGCTGAAGCCGCACGGCCTGCCTCCCGTGGTATCGCACAGCCCGGTCCTGGGACCTCACAGCAGCAGCTCTCTCCTAAGTCCCGCGCTTTGTCCGCTTGTTTTTAACCCCCTACCGCTCCCACAGGCTGTGCACTCCAGCAGGGCAGGACTCTGGCGGTCCTGTCCCTGCTTGTCCGAGCCTTAACAGCCCCTGGCACACCCTCCAGAAGCATTCATGCGAGCCCACCTGCTCCTGAGGCAGCGAGCCGGCCTCCTCCCAGTGCGCCTGCAGGTCCTCTAGCAGCCCCAGCAGGTAGCCGTAGTCCAGGGTGCGGGTCTGATGGTGGCGGCTGCTGACCTGCCAGTGCCTGCGGGGCCCCAGCCCAGGCTCAGGGCAGCTGCGTCAGGGGCCCGACCCAGCAGGGAACCCGTGTACCTCCAACTGACAGCCCCGCCCCTTTCCGGGCCCCGCCCCTCACCGCCCGCCCCGCCCCTCGCGACTCGGCCCCGCCCACTCACAGCACAGCCAGTTGCAGCGCCGACAGGTTGTTCTGTGCGCCGTGCAGGCAGAGCACGGTGGCCGCAGGCCCGCTGAGCTCGCCGCGCCAGCTGCTCGAGTTGGGCTGGGGGACGGGCTGGCCGTGGGTGGAGGCGGGAGACCCCCATCCCCCCTCGGCCCCCAGGTCCCTGGTCCCCTCCGCCTCGCCCTCCCCACGCCGCCCCTGGCTGCCCCGGGGGCCCGAGGTTGGCGCTACCTCTTCGGCTCGGTGCTCGAACTGCAGCAGACGGCTGAGCAGCAGCAGGTACGACAGGAAGCCCGACCGCCCACGCTGGCTCATGTTCGTGTCCCTCTGGAACACAGGGCCGGCCGGTCAGCAGCCCTTCCCGAGCCTGTGGGCTGGGGCGCAGGGCTGCAGAGTCGGGGGGAGGCCTTGGCTCCCACCTGTGTGGTGATCAGCTTGAGGACCAGTTGGCAGTCGCCCTGCACCCGGGAGGCGCTAGAGCGTGGTTCCAGCTTGAACCAGCGGTCCTCTCCGGCCACGGGCACCTCCTGGGGGAAGGGGGTTCAGATCGGTGGTTCTGCCTAACCCCCTCCCCTCACAGACTGTCTCTGGGACCGCAGGGAGAAACAGGCCTCTGCTTCCCACTAAACGCTGGTGACCAGCACAGGGGCCCTCAGGGGTGCCTGGACACTAGAGGTTCCTGGAGGCTGTCCCTCCTCCCTTGCAGCATGGTGTCCCCCCAGCCCCGGCCCAAGAAGGATGGGAAGCTGCTGGGGCATCACAGGACATAGCCAGCAGCAGTGGGGCAGGACTGCTGCCAGGTGGGAACACCAGGTGGGACACCCAGGAGCAAGCATTCAGCAAGCGAAACTGCCAGCCCACTCACCCGGACGGGTATGTTGAGGCACCCCAGGAAGTCATCAGTGTGGTCTTCCGTGGGCCCCGCTGTCCCATTTGCCCGGGCAGACTTGACAATCTGTTTGAAATACCTGGGGGCAGCAGGATGGCTTCACACCTGTGGCCCCTGAGGAGCCATCACCCGCTGGCCCCTGTGGCCAAGCTGAGAGTGTCAGGGGTGCGAGGGTCCCACCTGCCCCACCTGCTCATGCCCTTCAGGCCGATGACCTCATTCAGTTTCCTGCACGCTTCCACCAGGGACACATCATCGTCATGATCCCTGGAGGGGGGCGGTGGGGGGCCTGGCTTGTCTGCAGCTCAGCCTGGCTCTGACTGCCCCCTCCCGCTCCGCCCAGACCAGAGGCACCCGCACCCCCTGCCCTGCAGGGCACAGGGGCCTCTACCAGATGTCCAGGTGCAGCTGGTCTGTGCCCACGTCCTCGATCTCACTGTAAGGAGAACAGAGAGGTCCCCAGAGGGTCCAGGTGATCCCCTGCCCAGCGCTGGGGCAGGGACAATTTCTGAGCCTCAGTCTCCTGCTCTGGAAAGTGGGCACAGGACCAGCCCTTCGGTTCCGGGGGCAGGCACTGAGACCTCCTACAGGCACAGCTGCCCCCACGCAACCCCAGGACCGGCCGGCACCACAGCAGACCACACCCGACCACCCCGCCGCCCGACTGGATGGGGGCCTTACAAGAGGAAGTGCTCCTTCCATACGGGGTTCAGGGTGCTGCTCTTGACCTCGGTGACCTGGATGCACTTGGCTGGCAGTGGGCCACCTCGCTTGCTGCCCTTGCGGAAGCTGAAGCGCTGCTCCTTGTGCGGGCTGGGCTCCTGCACGGCGCCCGAGGCCGGCAGGATGCCCAGCATACAGTACGGGTCACTGAAGCCTAGGACATGGTGGGTGCCTCAGTCCCAGTCCCGCTCCCATGGCCCCCAGACCCGGCTGGCCCCCCAACTCACCATTGGGGTCTTTGGCCAGCAGGTTCTTGGCACGCATGACGGAGACTTTCAGGGCATAGGTGGGTGCCTGCAGGTGGAGGGCAGTGACGGTCTCTGGGGCTCAGTGTGGACCTGACACGGCTGGCCCCGCGCCCCTTCACCCTGAGCCTCTGCCCGCCAGCACTGCAGGGGGCGGCATCTGCCCAGCGGGTGGCAGCCTCACCTTGGCCTTCTTCACACGCTCCACAGCCGCGGCATGCTCCTCCGGGTCAGTGCCGAACACCTGCGGGTCGGCAGGTGTGAGGCCCAGGTGCCCTTGAAGCAGGCCAGTTATCATCCCAGTGGCTTCACGGGGTGGGGGGAGCACACACAGCAGAAGAAAGGGGTCTGTCCACCTGCTGGTTTGTCCTTTCTACCTTTCTCTGTGTGTCTGTCTGTTCATCCTTCTGTGTGTGTCCTACATCTGTCTACCTGTCTTTTCCAATGTTCTTTGTAGCTGTGTCCATCTGTGTGTTCTTCTGTTTGAATGTGTCTGTGTGTCTGTCCATCTTTCTGGGCATGCCTGTCAACCTGTGTGTGTCTGCCTGTGCACCTGTGTGTGTGTGATGTATGTGGGGCAATTCTGTGTGTGTTGTTCAGGCGACAGTGACATAAGCAGGTGGGGTAAAGTGTCTCAGCCACCCCCAGAGATGGGCCAGGCCAGCCGAGTGGGCCGGGCCCGGGCCTCACCTGCTGCAGGTAGCTCAGCAGGGCCTCCTCGTCATCCACCTGGTCCGGGCCCATGGTGCCTGCGCGGTGAAGGACCGTGTACAGGGCCTCCTCATAGAGCATGTCCACCTGCAGGCGGGGGGCGTGGGCCCTGAGTCCCGACCGCAGGGGCTCTCAGCTCCTCGGACGCACCCTCTCTGCCCAGCCCCCAGCCGCTCCTCCCACTGGCAGAGTCCGGTCTCTGCCTCTGCGCCTTTGCACCTGCGGGGCCTCCACCGGGGGTCCCTCCCCACCCCTGACCTCTGCTCACTCCCATAGGGAGGCCCACCTACCCCAGACCCCCCACCCCCTTACCTCCTCTTGGCTCAGAGTTCTCAGGCCACGGCTGGGGTCCACGGGCTCTGCGGGGGCAGGTGAGCGGCTGCGCAGCAGGACCTGTGGGTGCCGGGGGGTGAGTGTCTCCGTGACTCCCTGACAGGGAGTGCTCCAGGGAGGGAGGGAGGGGAGCACGGAGCAGCCGCTGGGGAGGCCGGCTCGGGCCCCCGCCGGGCAGCAAGGCCCGCAGCGTCCGCACCTCAGGGCATGGCAGCCCCTGTCTGCCCTCCCCCTTCTTCAGGATGAGGCGCATCTGGGCGAAGAACTCCACACCATCTCCGGGTTTCCTGCAAGAAAAGCCACTCTCGGGGTCAGCAGACACTCCCCATGCTGCAGATCGGAGCACGTGCCAACCCGCATGACTCAAGGGGATCCCAGGGTCTCTAAACAGCTGAGGGTGCAGTGAGACGCTCTCCACAGCCTTGGGTTCAGAGCCTCCTGGGCTTCCCCTGGGGGCCATGCTGGGCGGCTGGTGTGTGAGGTCAGGGGAGGAAGGGAGCCGGCTGGGGGGCACCCACCAGGCCCCGGCCGCAGGCTCCGGCAGGTCAGCGCTGCTGCTGGCCGGCTCCTCCTCCGTCCTCCGGCGGAAGGATGGGCACACCTGCACCTGCCTGAGCACGCTGCTCTTGATCTCCAGCAAGGTGGACATGGCGGCGACCTGTGGGCAGAGAGCCCTGCCTTACTGTCCCCTGTGATCACATCAGATGCCACACTGAGCAGTGACGGAGGTGTGACCAGAACGCAGAGGTGCCCACTGCTGGGGCCACGGGCTCCAACCCTCCCAGAGCTGCAGACTTGCCCAGTCCAAGCCCCGCCACCCCACAGGTCCAGGCTCCCCAGACCAGAATGACTCGGACTGAGCTGGTTTCAGGGGAGACACAGGCAGGGGGCCACCAGGCCCAGGTCCCATTCCTCACTTGGCATGAAGAATCCCCGTGTCCCAGGGTGACATCTAGGCTGCTCCAGGCAGGATGCTGCGTGGTGACTCAGTTGCTATGGCAGTATAGGCCCTTGGAGCAGACAGGGGCTGCAGCCCCACAGCCCACACTTTGCAGAAGGGGAGTGGGACCTGCTCGGGGGACACCTTCCTGTCCAGGGGGCCCGGCCCTGGGACGCCCCTGAGGGGCGCGCACTGTCACTGCCGACTCCAGTCCCCCAGCCTCATGGGCCTGCGCTGTTACAGCCTCACACCTTGGGGTGCTCAGTGCCCCCTGCAGACCGCGGGGGTAAGCCACCAAGGGCCCTGCAGTCTGCTTCTTCCACCCCGTGACCTGGCCCAGGCAACTACCTCCGGCCTTGGCCTCCCGATCCCCCCGCCCCTGGCAACTTCCCACAAGGTGGTCTCGTGTTCCCGCGCTGAAAATCATCAGGACAAAGCAAAGACCCTCTTCCGGGCCACCTCTGCCACTGAATGCCACCCACTGGGCTCCCTGTCCCTGGCTTGCTGGCCTCTGTGTGCCGGACACACCATGCACCCCTTGGCTCACCTGGGGACTTGCCCACTGCCTGGGTCCTGTCCCTGTCCACTCCTGAGGGCGTCCCCACCAGCCAGGCACGTCAGTCCGAGCCTGTCCTTTTCATTTGACAAAATAGGAAATGGCCCTGCCAGATCCAGCTCTACTTGCCCAGCTCTCACGGGCACCTGGCACTGGGGTAGCCAGGGAGACCTGCCCTGCCCTGTGTGCCCGCCGCCAGGGGTCATGTGAGTGCTGGTGTGTCCTCGTTTACAGGCTTGGCCTCATCCCGGACGGTCACCCTCTGCTGGGACAGTGGGGCCGGGCACACCTGCCACCTTGAGGGTCCAGGACAGACTTTTTGAGCAAGCTGGGTGTATCTCTGGAGGGGGGGCGGTGCCCGGGCTGCCATTGCTGGTGTGTGACCCCCGCCAGCTCTCAGTTCCTCATCTCACTCCCTGATCCTCCAACCCTGGAGCTGCAGGGCCAGGGGGACCCATCCGGCCAGACCCGAGAGCTGGGACAGGAGGGGAGGCGCGTCAGGCTCCAGCAGCCCCGGGCCCCCCCACGGCGGTCGGTGCCTTCCCCAGGGAGCCCCCACCCCTGCGGCGGGCTCGGCATCCCAGAGAGCTGTGAGGTCCCTGGGGGCTGGCTGTCATGGGTCCCCTTTTCCTCTCTAGCTGAGTGGAAGACGCTGCTCCCCCAATAGCACCCCAAAGCCAGGGAGCAGCCACTGCTTGAGCTGTTGCCAGGGCAACCGCCAGCTGCGTCTGTGTGTGACGGGGGCTCCAGGGCTCACAGTCCTGGAGACAAAGATGACGCAGGAGTGAAGTGGCCTGAGCTTCAGGGTGGGGGGCTTTCTCGATGAGACCAGAGTGTTCAAGGCAAGGGGGGGCCCCTCCTCAGACCAGCCCTGGGCGGGGAGTGACGCTCTGCTCCCCGCACCTGGACCAGGAAACCGAGACCCCAGGCTCATGAGGCCCAGGGTCACCCAGCCAGCAGGCAGCCCAGGATGGAGTCACAGCCTCCCAGGCTCTGGCGTCCAGGCGCTAAGCTCTCGGCTCATCCTGGGCCCCAGGTCCAGGCAGGCCGGCCTCCCCCTATGCTGCGGGCTCCTCCCCACTCCCGTCTCAGCCTGTGTCCAGGAGGGAGGCAGCAGCGGTGTCTGGGTGCAGAGGCTCTTCCTGGGAGCTCAGAAGCCCCCTCTGTCCCCTGGGGACCCCTGGGCTGCCTGCACAGCCACAACCTCGCTGCACCTGGCAGCCTGGGCCCTGGGGCCAGCGGCACCCACTCAGAGCTGTCCTGGGCAGAGGGCATGGGGCCCATTGCTAGGGAGCACTCACTGGCTACCAGGGGCTCTCAGCCTGCACAGGGCAGAGTGAGCAGCGTACAGGCTTCAGGGGACCCCCGTCTGTCTGACGGGCCCCACAGGACTCCTTCCTGAACTTTCAGTGTCTCGGTCCCACCCAGGTCTGGCCAGAAGCTCTGAGCAGGACACACCTGTATCCCCGCTCAGGCCTGGCCACCTGCTCCAGTTTGTCCAATGAACAGAGTGAGGCCAGCCAAGGAGCTGGACGCCCCACAGTCACCAGGGCCCAGCTGAAAGCAACAGGCCTGCTGTGTTCCAGGGCTGTGCCCAAGGCCTGGGGTTGAATGGGAAAGGATCACTCTGCAAAGTGTCGCATTTCACATCCCAGCGATGGGGTGACTTGCCCGGAACCCAGGGCTCAAAGCCATGCTGTCTCCTGCTAGCCCACCTGGGGGCTGGCACTGAAGCAGGCAGGTCTGGGGCAGTGGGGCTGAACTGGAGAGCAAGCCTGGTCTTCTAGAAGAGTCCCCAGCAGCCCACTGGCCGCCCTGGACGTGAATCAACCCCCTCAGGGTGCTGGGGCTGCTCACTGAAATCGGTCCCTGGGGACTTAGGGGTGGGGCATCCACTGATGCTGCCCCAGCGTGTGTAAGGGGGCGGCAGGAGGTCTGGCCCAGCCACCTGGCTCTCCCTGCTGCCCAGCCCAGCCCCCAGCTGACCCCCTTCTCTCCTACGGGATTTCCGGCTGCCCCCTCTCTGCTGACTCTCTGCACTGTGCTCGCCTGCACACAGTGTGGCCGCAGTGCCTCCTGCAGCCCACCTAGGGTGGCTCTTAGGAACACTGCTCACTGGGGTCTCGTCCCCACCCAGTCCCAGGGAGGGGTCTGAGGTCTGTATTGTAACCAATTCTGCGAGCGGACCTAGAGCTCTGAAGCCCAAGATCAGCAGTAAAAGGTTGGCGAGATGCTTCTAGAATGCACGCATTTAAAATGAAGTGCCCGTAAGATCTTCCTCAGAGGTCCCCTCCAACCCGGCCCGCCGGGCCCTCTGACCTGCTCACCCCTCCCACTTCTCTCAGGGACACCCCGCCTCGACTCTTCCTCCCGACCCCCGCGCGGACCTCGCCCCCCCACCCAGTTCTGTCGGGGTGCTTCTCTCATTGGTGGGCGTTCGGTTCGGGGACAGTTTGGAAGCCTGGAGAGGGTGTGTTTTGGGGGACTCACCCAGACGTCGGGAAGAATTTGGGGAAAACAAGGGGTCCTGCCAGGATCCGCGGGAGGGGAAGCGGGCCGGGCTCAGGGGCGTCTTAATCGCTGGAGGGTGGACTGGGAAACCCCGCGGAGGGTCTCAGGGTCTACGGTCCCCGCCCACCTGCGGCTTCCCCCGGGGATAGGGCGCCGGGTCCGAGCGGAGTGACCCTGCGCATCCCAGGGCGAGGGGGGGAGGTGGTCCTGGAGCCCCGCGCCCTCCGCGGCTGGGAGGTCTGGTCCCCCCGCCCCTCCGCAGTGCGCACCGTCTCCCGCTCCGAGGCCCCGCTCCTCCAAGCGCGCGCCGNCGAAACCGAGCAGGATATGCCGGGGCCCGCAGCGCAGACTTTTCTGGAAGGGTTGTGTGGTCATCGCCCTCCCAGCCAGCAGTGTCCCCACCACCAGCCTGGAGCGGGCCTGGGCCTGGGGACTCAGCCTCCGCAGTCCCAACCGCTCATCTCAGAGGGGATAGCCCGCACTCCGGGGGTTGTGTGTGTGTGCTGCAGGCGTCAACTCAGAACGCCCGCAACAATCCTGGTCACCGAAAGGGCGACCGACCCCACGGCCCACGTCGGGCCACCTGCCAGGTTACCCCGTCGGCTGGAACTCCTCTCGCGCTGTGCCCAGCCCATCTTTGGCACCCCTCCACGGCTCCATGGTCACCTGGGGAACCCGTAAAAACAGCTTGCTGGGCCCACTAGGGCCTGCTGACTCCCAGAGCCCCCGCTGGGCCTCGCCATCTGAGGCTCCTCAGATGCGTGGGCTCCCTGGATCCCCTTCAAGCCTTTAGTAGAACCTGCTGGACCCTCAGAGCACCTTGTACTTGGGGGATCAGACTGTGGTTTGGAGAAGTTTTCACCCCAAAGGACCTCGTCTCTAGTGGAGGGACTCTAGGCTGGCTGGGGATCAGACAGACCTGGAACCCACTTCCGCTCAGGCCCAGAATCAAAGGACAGTGGGCTCTGGGGGGCCAGGGTTGAGCTGAGCAGAGGCGACCCTGGAGAAACAGGGTTCAGCACAGAGCTGTGTGCAGGGAGGCAGCTTTGATTTCTCTGTTCCCTGGTCTAGAAGGGTCCAGATGCACCCCTCCCACCCCAGGAGGGAGCAGACACTGCTCTGAGTGGACCACCACCTGTCTCAGCTTCTAGACTCACATCTGAGCTGCCTGTGCCTATCTTGCAGGATGAGACACAGAAAACAGACCTGCAGAGAGGGGGCAGCCCTGCAGGGTGTGTTCTCCTGCTGGAGGCTCTAGTCCCTGGTCCTGCTTCCATCCTGACCCAGCACAGCCGGGCAGAGGGGGTGGGGGAGCTTGGGAAATGCACAGCTTTGCACAGATGAATCAGACGAGCAGGGGAGGGGGCTGGACCCCACACTGCCAGCTGCCCCTTGGCTTCCTTCTGCAGGGGATAGGAATGGGGTCGGGGCAAGTAATGTCCCACCCTGAGGATCTGGCAGGTCCTGAGCCAGGATCTTGTAGCTGATGCCCCCCCACCCCTGCAGTCTTGCGTCAGGTTCTTCCAACCTGTTGGAACAAACACGGCCTGGTTGCCATGGTGATCATAATGGCTTTGGGGTGAAGAGATGAGACTCAGCAGCTGCTGTAAACAGGAAGTAAGGAGGGGCAGCTGCCAAGAGAGGGAGCCCCTGCTTGAACCCCCATCCCATGCCCAAGGGGAGCCAAGGGGCTGGGGACCAGTGCCACCCCGAAGATGCACCAGCCCCCCAAGAGTAACACCGCAGAGGGCCCCTGGAGACCTCAGCACTCTGTTTTGCAGGTGGGGAAACTGAGGCCCAGAGAGGGAAAGAGTTTTTCCAGGCAACAGGCTAGGTACCAAGCCCAACTCTGGGCCTCAGTTTCCCTTGGAAGGCATAACCTTCAGACCCTTCCCTCCCCATTTCCTGGGGGCGGAGTGATGGTCCCATTGGCGCCAGCCCCTTCAGTGTCTCCCGACTTGTCCTGAGGCTGAAGTCAGGCCCTCCTGGGTCATAGTCCTGCCCTGCTGCCCTCCTCCGGCACCTTGGGCCTTTGCTTTCCTCATTTGTCAAACAGAAACAGCAGCAGCGGAGCCCAGCCCTCAGCAGGGGGTGGGGGCCGTCCTAGCCAGTAGGAGCAAGTGCTGGTTGAGTCAGTGGCAGCTCCTCCACTCTGAGGGAGAGGAAGTGGGGGCTGTCACCGGGGACCCTCCAGGGGCCTCGGCGGGGGGGCTCTTTCCTTTGGGGACTGCTTTGGCCTCAGCAGGTTGGAAGTGTAAGCTCGTCCTCGTGTGACCCCACAGGAGGCAGAGGGCAGGGAGGGCACCCCTGGCCCCAGACCTCAGGCTGAAGGATCTATCCGGCCCCAGACCCCCAACAACACTCTGAACTTGAGGCGCAGTGAGAGGGCAGCTTGGGGCGTGCAGGGGCGTCAGGGCGCAAGACACCCTGCCTGCAGGGGTCAGGGCTTCGCGGGGCCCCTGGGGGCGTGGGTTTACCCTCAGGCTTCGGGCTGGACAGGGTCTGGCAGGCAGCGGGAGGGGCTTTTCCTCCTTAGGGCCAGGAGAAAAGCACCAGGCTCTGGGTCGCCACTCTGATGGCTGCTGATGGGCAGGGACAGGGGGCCTCAGAAGTGAGGGGCATCCTGTGAGGCCAGGGCACCGCCGTCATTAAAAAAAGGTATTGATTTGGCTGCCCTAGGTCTTAGTTGCCACATGCGGGATGTTCCATCTTCCTTGCGGCACGTGGAATCTTTAAGTGCAGCATGCACACTCAGTTGTGGCAAGTGGGATGATCTAGTTTCCTGACCAGGGATCGAACCCAGGCTCCCTGCAAGGAGAGCTGGAAGTCTTGGCCACAGGAAGTCCCCTGCCATATGTTTAATAAGGCATGAATCCTGCCCTCTGGGGTCAGCCCCTGGAATTGCAGGCACAGCTCCCAGCACTCTGACCCCCACACCAGTGGAAGGACTGTGGCCAGCAAAGTGGGGAGGGAGGTGGACCCCAGGGCAGAGGCGGCGGCTCCGGGTCGGTGAGGGTCTGGCCCAGGTGTGGCCCCTGGCCTGGGGCACGTAGCAGAAGCCCCTCGTGTGTATGTGGTGGGGGGAGGGGTCCTGCACCTGTGCAGGGCTGGGGCTACGGGGCCTTGGGCCTGAGGTCTCCGTGGGGCTGCAGGGGGCACAGAGCAGGCCCCCAGTCAGGATGTGCGGGTGTACGTGAGGCTGGGCTGCAGGCTGGGAGTGGGCCAGGCACCTGCTTCTCTGAGCACATCCCTCTGCACACGGGAGGTGGAGGCACTCATACTGGCTCTGGGGCCCCCGGTTCTCTCCTCAGGCAAGAAAGACTGCCTTAGGACAGGTCACCTCCACCTTCCGGGGAGGAAGGACCCAGGCCTGGGCCCTGCAAGTATTTTTACTGCTCCCTTATTACTTTCTAAGTGTGTTAGTCGCTCAGTCGTGTCCAACTCTTTGCGACCCCATGGATTGTAGCCCGCCAGGCTCCTGTTCCAGAATTCTCCAGGCAAGAACACTGGAGTGGGCAGCCATTCCCTTCTCCAGGGGATCTTCCCGACCCAGGGATTGAACCAGGGTCTCCCACATTGCGGCAGATTCTTTACCATCTGAACCACTCAGTTTCCCGACTGATGCCTGAGAACTTGGGGTGGAGGGGGCCCAGTGCTCCCGCCCCTCTGCCTGGCCCACAGCCTCTGCACACGGGACCACGGTAGTCTGGAGGCCTCCAGATGAACCTCCTGAATCGCTGGGGCAGGACACCCCCAGACCGCACCAGTGTCACCTGGGGACAGACCTGGACCAGCACTCCTTGGGCTTCTCCCTGCTGGAGCTGGCTGAGACCAGTTCGAGCCAGCCCAAGTCAGTGTTCAGGCCCTCCAACCTGGTAACTCGTCGTCATGGCAACCCCAAGAGGGGAGGCAGGGCCTGGTGCATGGTGGGAGGGCCTTGGGCTGCTGGGTCAGGGAGCAGGTGGGCAGGCACGAGGATGCGGTGCTGGCTCGGCAAGGAGAGTCCAGGGAGATCAGGGGGCCCCAAGAACCCAGAGCCCAGCCAGAAGCCATGGGGGCTCCGTGCACAGGGCTTCCTGGGGTAGCAGTGTCCAGCCTGGCCTGTGGTCAAGTTCTCCTGGAAGCCCTGACATGGGTCCCTAGCTCGGCACCTGTGTAACAGCCTGCCCTGAGCCTGTCCTGGACACTCTGAGGACTCACGCGCGCCTTAGCACCCTGGGACGGCGTCCCGGCTCCCTGGGGAGGGCCACCCTGGTGGTGGGAACAGCCCCACGTGGGAGGGACCTGCTCCAGCAGGTGAGACACGGGGGACAGGGCCGGGGTCAGCACCGGACGTGGGCCGCCTGGGCTGCTGGTGCTCTGACCTCAAGCTACACACTCGACCTTGGCTCTAGGGAATGTTGCCCCCTGCCACCTTGGGTCGCAGGGTGTCTGACGCTGGAGGCCGAGGCAGGAGGGACCCGCCAGCCTGGCTCCCTGGGAGAGGGCGGCAGTGAGTGGGGTGCCTGTGCAGGCAGGCAGGAAAGGACACCAGCAGGCGGCGGTTATCGGAAACATTTTAATCAGAGGATTTTAGATACAGCCCACAGTTTCTTACACGTTACGAGGCGCCTCATGCTGGGGACACTCTTCCCTTACAGTAGAGACAGGGTGGTCACATTTCATAGTTCTTGTTACAAGATTCACATCTTTGTTAAGCCAAGGACTGTGGCATAAAAGGACATTTTGTTAGCCAAAGTCACGATGATTTGCTAGAAACACTGATTACCTTAGAATGCTCTAACTAGAAAATAGATTGAATTTCCATATATATTAACCATATACACGGGTAACTATTACGAAGAATAGTTCAGTCGTTACAAAATAAGACGTTCTGTGAGAAGTTACAGATACACAGCCTGTGGACCCCCCAAGGCCCTCTGTGCCTATATATCGTGGGTGTCAGCTGCTCACACGAGTCCAGCCGGCGAGAGGGCAAGCCACGCAGGCCCCAGCTTCTAGCACGGTCCTGTCGCTGGGTGGTGGGTCCCCAAGTGGCACTTGGCCCACCTGGCTCCCTGACGGGGCGAGGTGACCAGTCCTCCTCGGGCTCCTGGAGCGTCACCTGCCCTCAGCCTGTGGGCAGAACCACAGACACCGCTCCGCCAGTGAGGGTGAGGGTCCGCGGGGAGGAAGGACAGCCTGACCCCGGGCCTCGTCAGGACCCGGAGGCCAGGTCCCCGCCCTGGCGGTTCTGGGGTGCAGGACCTGGGCCCAAGCCCGCCTGCCTTGTCCTGTCTCCATCTCGGGACCCCTGAGTGGGGCCGGACGTGCTGCTGACAGCATCCAGGAGCCTCCTGAGGAGCGGCCTCAGGTGCAGACGCTTCGGCAACAGGGAGGGGCCTGCTGCCAGGCTCGCCTGCGCTCACAGGGCAGGGGCGGGGGGTGTGGGGCTCTGCTCACCTGCAGTCTGGGCCCCACTGCCGGCCCAGCCGCCCTCAGCCATGCGCCGGCACTGGGGGTGAGCCGCCTGGACCGCAGTCCTCCCGCCTGCCCGGCCTGGGTCAGCATCTCCTGCTCCTGACGCCTGGGCCTGAGGGCTTGAAAAGTGTCTGGATGCCAGTTCCCGCCTGACCAGACCTGATCCTCCAGCGCCCACAGCCCCGAGCCTGGCGTGGCGGGGAGAGAACGCAGGGCACTGTTTACAGAGGATGAGGCTGGGGGCACACGGAGGCCACCTCCTCACTTTTAATGATGATAATGCAACAAGAACCTTTATATAAACAGTTTATTTACTCTAAACAGCAACACAGACAAACGCCATATAAACACAAAGGAAGTGATGCGGAAACGCGACGCTGGCTGGCTGGGGCTCTGGGGCTCTGGGGGCGGGCGGCTCTGCTTTCCGGCGACGTGCGGCCAGCGGGAGGCTAAGTGCAGCTCTGGGCGGCGTGGAGCATGCCTGCGTCCGTGAGCGAAGGAAACGCGCTCCTCAGGACTCATCCAAGTATAAAAGTTTATAATTTTACAGCAGTTGAAATACTGACATCAATATTAAAATAAAAGCAAGTTTTACATAACAATCAAAAATACAAAAGACTGAAGGAAGAGACCCTGTATGAAAAACTGGGCAATTCAGCGAGTCGAGACTGTACCAGTGGCGGAAATGGAAAATGGCGCCCGCCCACCCTCCCCAGGTGACCAGTAACTGTAGAGCAACGTTAGATTTGCAAAAATGTTGTAAACAAGTTCTTGCCAAACCAATCCCTTCCTTTTACGATGCCACAGGTCGCTGCTTATGAGGGAGCAAACTTCTTGGCTTGTGCTCGAACCCTTTTCTCGTATTCCACTCTGTTTTGGCTGAGGAGGTCAAAAGAGAGACATGTTAGAAGGTGCAGCCGCCGCCCGAGCCACAGCGGGAACCTGGGGCAGCCCGCGGGCTTGCCGGTCACCTGGGAGCAGCAGCTCCTTTGTCTCTGAGGTAGCCTCCACCACCCTGGTCAGTGGAGGAGACAAGAGCGTCTGTACACCTGCCTCAAAACCAGACAAACCCCGGGGGTCTGCCCCTGGCTCTCAGCACTGTGCGTGGGAAGTGTAGAGCGGCAAGCAGGACCCGTGCTGGGGCTCCAGGGTGAGAACCGCCACTGACGAAAGGGGCGCTGTGCCCCAGGGAGGAGACGACACTCACGACAGAGGCTCGTCGGGGGTGGGCACACAGGGGTGTGAGAGAAAGGAAGCCAGGGCCCCCCAAGCTGTGCTCTCAACAAGCATGGCCCCCCAGCATGACGACCTCAGCCTGAGGCCTAGTGGTCACCTCCGGCCAGGTGTGGGGTGGCAGCAGCTGCCCCGCTGAGTCCCGGCACCCTGCCTGCAGCCTCCCTAGGGAACGACTGCAGCACCCGCAACAGGGAGCTCGAGCTGCCCCGCAAGTCAGGAGCCTGCAGCAGGCTGAGTGCGCCCAAGGGGACATGGGCGTGAGGGCCAGCACTGGCCATGCCACTGGGGAGACCTCGGGCGCGGACGCTGCGGAGCAGTGTCCCCACAGCACCCGGCCACACACCGCCACCAGCACGGAAACTCAGGAAAGCCAGCCTGAGGCACTGTTCCGAGCTCACGGTCATAGGAGACTCCAACTTCGCGGGCCACATTCCTGCCGTAGGGCTCAGCTCGGGTGCCTACCCACTGGCCTTACCTACAAAGGGTGCAGAACTCGGCACCCAGCCCGGGGTCAGGCAAAAGTCACTGTACACCTAACCTGGCAGTGAGAACGTGCTCGCTAGAACCATGAGCGATGCTCCCAACGGGGGCCTGAGGAGGCAGAGAGACTGAAGGCTGAAGGCGAGCAGGCCGGGGGCTCAGGGACTGGACCTCTGCCCTGCCGGGGTGGGGGGAGGGCGCGCACCATACTGCCCTTGGCCAACACTGGGCCCTGCCCAGGGACCTGAGCCACTCTGGGCAATCACCTTGGTGCTTCTCTTGGGGGAGTTGGGCGGCTGGGGTGCTGGCCACTCAGCGGGGACTGAGGACAGCCCCAGCCTCAGCTTTGCCCCCTCCCCATGCTCTCCAGGAAGGATGGGCCCTGGGTGCCAGGCCATCATGGCACCTGGGAAGGCTGCTTCCCGACGCCATCACCCCAGGGCTCCTCCCTCAGCGCCGACCGTGGACACAGGCTCCGAGGGACACAGAGCAAAGGGCTGGGTGTGAAGCAGACGCCTGGCTTTGTCCCCTACTGCCGCCCCTGCCCCCTGGCGGGACAGGGAAGAGGGACTGGGAGACCAGGGGGCAGCAGCAAGGCCAAGGCGGGAGGCTGGGGTCCCTGGTTGAGTGGGCCACTGGCCACCCCTCCTCCAGGGCCCACACGCAAAGGAACGTTCCCAATGAGCTGGACCAGGGTCAGAGGCACAGGGCCAGCCAGGGCTCAGACACAAAGTGGTAAGCCCCCGAGCTCTGCCTCCTGACACCCCATCACCCGCCCCCCGCCCCCCACCAGGGGCGGCCTAGACTGGCCTTCAGGGAGGCCAAGGAGAGGGCGCAGCGAACGAGTGGGTCACTACTGACCAGTAGATCGTGTAGGCCTCTGCTTGAGCTGGGTCTTGGATATTTGGTTCATTTAGAAGTTCCTGTATTCCTAATAAGATCTGCACGAGAGAGAACACAGCGCTGGGAAAGGCACGCTCTGCGACCACAGTCTGGGCTCCACTGGGGAGGGCCGGGGCGGACACGTACCTGCTTGATGGTGATGGCTGGCCGCCAGTCTTTGTCCTCCTCCAGGATGGACAGGCACACCGTACCCGAGGGGTACACGTTTGGGTGGAACAGCGGCGGTTCAAACTTGCCTGGAGCACAGGGAGGGAGGAGACGTTTCTGGAGGCAGGCGCCCCCTGCCCAGGGCCAGCCGCTCCCCTGGCGCCCCTCCCCTACACCAGGCGACCGGCCAAAACAAGCAGAAAAGAAAAACAACCCGGGGGAAAACAAACCAGCCCCCAGGACGGAGGCGGCGAGAGGTGTGAGCAGGCCAACGACAGGCCCAGAGGGCGGGCCCCGTGGTGGGGGCGGCATCAGAGCCCTGCGCCCCAGACGGGACCCCAGCCCCAGGGCCTCCCAGCAGCCTGGCTCAGGAAGAAGGCAAGGAGCCCTTGCAGCGGGCGAGGAGGGCCTGGGGGCGCCAGGCAGAAACGCAGGGGCCCTTCCCTACCAGGGCCATTTTCAAATTCATCCTGCTTCAAAACAGAGGCTTTTAGGACCACATGCTCTTTCTTAAAAAACAAACAACATAAAAAGTTAACTCTTTAAGGAAAAATATACACATACAAAATTTGAAACTTAAAAACAGCAGGAAAAGTCTGCCACCCTGAGCGCCACCACGGACCGTTCACTCACCTGCTGCTTTGGCCAGTTTTTCTCACCTGGACACTTTCCCCTCTGTCTAAGCACGTCACACCCAGAAGAGGGCAGCAAGCACAGCACAGTGTGGTTGATGAATTACCAAAGGTGAGCACGCCCACTCATCCAACAGCTTCTAGAAGCCCGCCCCTGCCCGGGGCTCCCGCTCTGCCTGGGTCTCAGCCCACCCCGCTACCACGCAGCCTCGTTGGCAGGCCTGGGCGCTGGCCCACGAACCCCAGGGCACAGCCTAGCCACCACGAATGGAGCCACAAGGCCTCCTCAGCGTGGAACCGTCGCTCAAGCAGATGCTGCTAGCTCGCACAGTGGCTGCACTCATCCACCTGCCGCCGGTGGGGCCTTGGGCTCCCAGGCTTCACGACTGTGCCAGCCGGGTGGTGCTGATGCGCGGCCCGCCGTGCCCGGTCAGGGCTGCTTCCCTGAAAGCTCTCCTTCAGTCTCTGGCACGTTCTTCTTGCTGACTTGCAGACGCTCTTTGTACATATATACGCAGAACACAGCCCACTGTCGCGTACTGTCCCTCACTTCGAGTCTGTCTCCTTGCTCCTTTAGCTGCAGACATCACTTCCCACCTTTAACTAAATCCGAGGTGGCGATCTTGCTTCTCGTGCAGAGAGGATGCTGGCCCAGCACCAGGACCCCGAGCCCTGCCGTGCCCCCGGAGCTCCCACACAGCCTCGCGGGCGCGGCTGACCCCAACTGAACACGGTCAGCGCCTCCCGTGTCCGGAACGTGGGGGCCTCCTTCCCGCTGCACACACTCGTGCAGACCCACTGCCCCAGGGCTCTCTGGCCTTCTGCAGGGCTCAAGTGCACCAGGCCCTCCTCAGGGAGCGCCAGGCCGGGGACAGGTGTCATGTGCGGCCTCAGGAGGCCCGCTGAGCGCTCTCCAGAGAGCACTCAGGGCCACCGGGCTGTCCCCCACAGCGTCCATGAGGAAGCCGGGCACCCTCCCGGGCCCACCGGCCGACTGGAGAACCTCTGCTGCGAAGGGCTGTTTGCCTCTCCTCACCAGCGTACAGGGGCTCTGACAAACGTGGGGAAAGGACCGACGACAGACACATCCGTCTCTCCTCCTCATGCGTGCTGCCCCGGGGGAGGGCATGGCCCTGACTCCAGGTCTGCCCAGCTCGTGGCTTTCCCCCTGCTGTTTCTGGTTAAGGGCTCTCGTCCGCCGACAGGAGGGAGGAGGCCATCTCCCCAGCAGCACCTCTCCCTCTGGGAGCCAGGATCCCCAGACGCGCCTGTCCCTCTTCTCCCACTTCGCCCCCACCTCCCACGTGGCCTCCGTCATCGGCCGAGCACACAGCTGGCCTCCTGGGCCTCTGCTATGCAGGCCTGCGCCCCCGTCAGGGTGGGCTCCCGCCTGACGAACCTCGGCCTGGGCCTCAGGACCCCCAGACCCCCGCCAGAGTGCCAAGGACGTGACTATTCTCAGCACTTGCCTCCCCCATGTTCCAGCTAGGGTGACAGCTTCCAGAAAAGTCTGCCTGATCACACTGGACCTGCAAGCAGAGCGGAGAGCAGGCGCAGACACCCATGGCCTCAAGCCATGCACACACTTGTCCTGCCAGGGCTCGCAGTGGCCCAGACCCTTGCTGAAGTGTCTGATTGCTTTTTTTTGGCCACACTGCAGGGCTTGTGGAATCTCAGTCCCCCAACCAGAGATTGAACCCCTGCCCACAGTGGTGAAAGCGTGGAGTCCTAACCACTGGACTGCCAGGGAATTCCCTCTAAATTTTTTTTCTATGTTTTTTTTCCAGCAGTGAGGCCTTGCATCTGTTGAATTTACCCCGTGGTATCTGATGTACACAGTATACTTTAGAAGATGCCATCTCTTGTAGTCACATAAAAACAGACTTTTGTGAATTGCTCTTTAAGTCAGCAGCCTTAGACTTGACAGATAATGGCTGTAGGCTTGTCCTACAATTCCACTGGGGTTTCCTCTTCCTGTCTGGCTGGATCGGCTTGGATTCCAATACAGGGTGGGACCGGAATGAAGAAAGCTGCTACAATTTATCTCATTTCTTAAAGATGTTCTTTAAGGTAGTAACTATGTGGCAAAAAATTGAAACAGCAAAGAACAACCCAAATGAAGTAAGTCTCCGTCCCAAGGGCAGGCTGACCTTTCAGAAATTCTTCCAGCCCTGCTTTTATAACAGACAAGACTCCTGAATCACCAAGCACCAGAATGAACGCCGACACAGTCCTGCCCCACGCGCTGGGGGCATTCTTCACACGCTGGGCACGAGCTAATGTGCTCAACGAGCCGGCCGCAGCGTTTGCAGATTTCCAGCTCCCCAGAGGAGTGGCCTGGACCCGCCTGAGCTCTGCGGACCTGCCCGCCGAGGTCTACCTGAGCACCACCTCAGACGCGGCCGGCCCGCTCCTCCCACCGCCTTCTCTGGAGGCGCCAGTGTGCCTCTCACGCGGGGGGTACACAACACCACCAGGTATGAAATCCCACCAGGCGACAAAACCTGAAGCCAGGGAGGCTCTGGACCGCGGCCCTTCCGCACACCTGCCTCCCTGCAGGGCTGGAAGCTGGTGGCAGCTGGTCCAGGGGCCCCAGGTATGAGAGTCGGATTCTGAGGTCTGAGCCTGTTACGTGCACTCACACCACTGGGGTGGAGACAGACTCACACCCACTGCCCACCTCAGGGACCAGAGGCTCCAGAGCTGCCGCGAGCAGACGGAACACAACCACGGCTGCCCGGGCCCAGGCTCTCCAGGGGGACCTGGGACCACCCACTAAACACAGTCGGAGCTGGCTGACTCCCGAGGACCTCGTCCTACTTACATTTCGGCGGTGAGGATGGGTAATCGTCTTTGAACAGCATCCGTAGTTTAAACAAGCCGCCTTCCCATGGAGTCTGTTGGGCAATAAAACTTGTGATCAGGAGTGCTGGTAGCCAGGCCCAAGAGGGGCAAGGGGCCTGCTCCGAAGTACCCCCAGGACCAGGAGGGCCCCCCGAGTCAGCTCCCCGGGACTCCTGGGGCCTCCATGGCCCCAAGGGCAGATGGAAAGGGCCTTCCCTGGAGGAGCACATGGTCCCAGACCCACAGCAGTGGGTGTGGTGCGGACTCAGGGAGGGGGCTCCCCAGGAGGGACATTCTGCGAAGCTGCCCCCTGAGGCCCACAGGCCCAGGCAGCTTCCCAGCTACACAGTGCGTCCCCCCACCGCCAGGGCCTACTCCTGCTGCATCTTTATGCCAACCACCGGGAGGGGTGCAGGGACGAGGCCGTCACCACCCGGGCACCTCAGGGGTCTCCTTCCTTCCACCCCCGAAGCCCACAGAAGCTTCCAATGTGCCAGTTCCAGTCCAGCCAGAGGCACCGAGTGAAGGCCACCAGGGCCATCCCAGGTGGCAGAGATAGCTGCTGGGTCTAAGGATTTGCCAGGGTCCGAGGCTCAAACCCTCCACCCCCGGCCCTAGGAGCACCACTTCAGCCTCAGTGCGCCACTCCCATCCACCCCCTCCAGGGCTCCCCCTACTCCCGGACGTCAGGCCCCACGGTGCACTCCCCACCTGCTGCAGCCCAGCTCCTTTCTGAAGGAAGGCTGCCCGGGGGGGCACATGTCACCCTAACCTTGTCCCCTGGCCTGCCTGGGTCCTTCTGAAGGGGCGGTCCCTCTTACCCCCTTCTTCCCAGGAATGGCACACTCCCAGTTCATGAGGTTCATTGTGCCGTCAGGGTTCTTTGTCGGGACGGCCACGAAACCCTGCGAGGGAAGAGTACGAGCACATGGGCAGTGGGCCCGCCCGGGACCAGCCCTCCAGCGCAGCCCAGGCCAGCGGTGACCCTCGGGAGCGGGCATTCCGGTCAGGGGACACCGGTGCCCTGCCGCATGCACAAGTAAAGCTTTCCTTACAAACGGGTGGTCTTTTCTCCAAGCTTTCCTCTCCTGGGCAAGTCTGCTGAGGGCGATCCCCGACATGTTCGCGTCCCTGGAAGAGCCGGGCAGAACATGAGGTGAGCAAAGGTGGCTGCGGGCCCTCTGCCCCTCACCCTGCGCCCGGCCCGGCCTGAGACTTGATTCCGAGGAGCAAGCAAACAAAGGCTCCCAGCGGCCTCACAGGCTCTCTGGGCATGCTTCCGCCTGGGGTCTGCATGGGGGTCATGCCCCCCCGGGGTGCCCCCAGCACCCAGTAGCAGCCCTGCCCTCTTTGTCCTGCAACCCCAGCTGGAGCACCAGGGACCCCGATACCACGAGGAGGGGCAGGAGCAAGACGGGGACGTCCAGAGGGCCGGCCTGAGACCTGGGGGGGGGGCTGTCACTGAGCACAGGGATGTGAAGGTACTGCCAGAATCCATGCTTGGGCCCGGCCAGGAGGGGAGCCCATGTTCTGGAAGGTGGCCCTGGGCAGAGGGCAGCTTAACCACAGGAGGGATGGGGCCACACAAGCCCAGCCTCCAGCAAACCCCACCACCAGGCTGTCCCCAGCCCCGCTGCCTGTCCCCTGGACTTTGGGGAAGTCAGCGAAAGGCGCAGTGGGCCCTGTAGCCAGGCTGTTGGGGCCCCTGGCCACTTCTGAATGTCACCCCCCCCAGCCCGACCCTCAAGGCTGGGCCCATCAGCACAGAGATCCATCGCCTGATGCCATCGGGTCGTGTCCCAGGGCGGCTGACCCCGCGTGCGGGCCAGACCAGGCGCGGGCCCAGGTCAGAACCCCACGGCCCTCACCGCCCTTCCGCCCACAGGAATCCAGCCCCAGAACCTGCTGGGGAATCTGACCCTAAGTGTGTTCACTGGTCTTGAAGTCCACGGGAACGCTGGAGAGTACCCCGAATCAAGTACCTCCACGAGCATGGCTTTAACCATGCTGAGGGCACGGTCTCCAAGCCGGGCACATCCGCTGGATGGCTGGCTCACCCCACCTCGTGCCTCTGGCAGGGGAGAGGCCCAGCACCTGGAGTCTCCTAGGACAACAAGCCGTGCCTTCCACAGGCAGAAGACAAACTTCCGCCAAAGACAGAACAAGAAGCCGGCCGTGCCTCCCAGTGGTGCTGGCCCTGCCCCAGAGCGGGGGAAAGCCCAGCTCAGAGCTGAGAAACAAAGATCCAGAAAGTAACCTGCCCACTGAGGGCGAAGCCTCAACTCAAACCCACGGCTCTTCCTACTCTGGGTAGAAGGGCTGCTTCTCACCACGGCCCCCTGGCCCATCAATACTTGGCTCAGGCTGACCCCCAACTTCTCCAGCAAGCCAAATGGCGAGCTTGTCCCAGCACCGCTGCTGGTGGCCGCTCTGGTGTACCCAAGTCTGTGCAGGGGAGCAGGGTCAGGTCAGCAGGCCAACAGCAGAGCAGCAGATCCCAGCCCTCGGCGGCTGCTTGTTTCCAAGGCATGTTCCCAGGCCCAGGGGCCCCAAGGAGCCAGAACTCTGCAGGGGTCTGGCTCTTAGACCACTCCCCAATAAGCAAGCATATGGGGGGTGGGGTTGGGATCACCACCACAGATTGCCTCACCCAGGAGCCCACACGGCACGAGGTGGGGTGACTTACTGCAGACACCAGACAACTAGGTGCTATGAGTTGTCAAAAAACACGGAGACTTCTATCAACACAAGAAAAAGCGAGCATTGAAACTAGCTCCCATGCAGGAGACCTGGTGACGGGAACCACTGCCTGGCTCTGACCACTGAGGACACTCTCTGAAGGTTCTGACCCTGCCCAACCTCAAGATCAAGTCTCAAGCAAGAAGGCCTTAATCCCAAACAAGCCCGCACCCCAAAGAGAACCTCTCTTTGCCACCCCCTACCCTCCAGTCCTGGCCTGCCCACTTCCTCCTCATCCGTGGACTCTATGGACAGGACACCATCTGGGGGCTCCTTCCCTACAGAGGCACATCTATCTGGTGTTTTCATTCATTCATGCAACCTAAGTTGAAGAACCCAAGCGCGGCTGCCCGAAGGCTGATGTGGGTGTGCTGGTGCCCCTGGGTCCTGGTGGTGGTTGGCTGGCCACCTGGGCACTGCCTGCAGCACCGGGCTCAGTTCAGAAACAGGACAGGGTGGGAGGCGCTGGGATCACTTCCCTCAGGCGGAGCGCCGGCCAGCTTTCGTCTTTAAGGTCCTCTCTGGTTAGAGGTGAGGGCAGAAATCCTGAAGTCTGAAAACCCTTCACTTCGTATGACCCTTCTGAACAGAACTCACCCCTACCTCATCCTCAGAGCCAATGGGAATGTCTCCCCCACTCCGCGGGGCTTAGGGATGTGCAAGATGTCCTACACGAGCCCCTCACGGGTCAGGGCAGAGCACAGGGCATGGGGTGAGGCCACCTCTGAACTGTCCCACACGGAAGCTCAGCGGCAGAGAGAAGCAGCCTGGCTTTCCATGCAGTGAGAGGTTCCTGTTGAGTCTGCACTCAGCAAGGAGTCAAGACTGGTTCCTGGAGCAGGGGTGGCACACAGGTTCTGGAATGGGCAAGCTGGCACTTGAGGGCTCTGGAGCGAGAGGGCTGGGCCAGAACGTAGAAGAGGCCGGCAGGGTGATCCTGAGTGCCGCATGCCTGCTGACCGCATGCCAGAACCCCGCCACAGGCCACCTCTTCTTCTGACAAGGAACAAAGCTGTCTCAGCAGACCCGGTCGGGGTGCCAGCTGTGATTATCTCAGGTGCAAAAGGTAACGGGGGGGGGGGGTCCCACAAGAGCTGCTGCAACCCCGTCCTTGGGGGTGACAACCAAACCGGGCACCAGAAAGATGGATGCTGCAGCCAGAGCAGAGTCACAGGCGCACACCTGCACCCGCCCAAAGAGAGGCTGGCCTCTCACTCCCCAGGAGAAAGCAGCCAATTTGCTACATTTTAATTACAACAGGGAACCACTCCTTCAGCATCCCACTTGGAATCAAATCAGCTTTTCCCAACTGACAGGGAGGCACTTAAGGAGCTGTTAAGTGTTAGGAGAATCTTCAGAGCAGCAAAATCACTAAGAGGCAAAGATCGGATATCCATAACCTGCTAGAGACAGCCTGCAGCACAGGATCTGGGTCTGGGGCAGACCCTTGAAGTCTGCAGCCATCCTTTTCCAGCATGGGCTGTGCTTGAACCCACTCTTCTCAGATCAAGCTCTGGTAGCCTACAGCACTGTGAAGCCACTTACTGGCTGCAGGTGAGGGCCAGCGGCGTCCCCCTCCCACCTCGACTTTCTCACCAGTATGGGTGATAGCACTCTGAACCAGAGGTCAGCCCAGGGTGAAACAGACGAAGGCTCTCGGCCCTGGGTGGGCTTTCCCACCCAAACGCAAACTCGCCAGGGGAAGGCAGGCACTGGCTTCACCTGCGCTCAGGAGCCCCTCCAGCCCAGGTGCACTTCCCTGGTCTTTCCTGACACGCCTCCCAGGACGCCCAGCTGTTTCCAAAGCAAGCCCGGAACCCCCAGCGAGACTCACGTGCAGCACGATGCAGAATTCACCCCCAACCCACCAGAAAACTCAAAAGCAAGCCAGGACAAACGTGGGATCCTTCTCTCCCTGCTGCTGGGCAGGTTCTCCGTCCAAAGGCAGGGTTTCCTTGGGAGTAAAGAAACACAGAAGACCACGGGCTTAAGCAGACCAACGAAAGCCAATTCCGCAAACACAGAGGAGTAACTCTGCGAACGGAGCTTGTTTTCAGACCATACAAACCAAACCAGTTACTTTTGTGATTCAGGGACAGCTGCTGGCCGCTACCATCAGCCCAGCTAATCATTCCGTCGCCTTTTTTTCTCTCGCGAAAACTACCAGCTCCAGCCTCCGTGCAACTGGTACAAAGCGGTCTTGGGACGAGATCTCCCCGGCAAGGGAAGCGCGAACACTCGATGGGTCCCCCCAACGGCAAGCGGAGCTCGGAGGCGCAAGAGCCCTAGCTTGTTTTCGTTTCCAGGCATCACACGCCACCCCCAAACGCGCCAGCGCTCCTGCAGCGCGCAGCTTTGCACTCTTTGTGCCGCGCGTCCTCTCCCCGGCTGGAACGCGCCACAGGTTCGCGCGCAGACCGTGACCCCGGAAACGCTCCGCCTGAGCGGAGGGCTCGGCGCTCCTGTCAGCGCGGCCCGAGCCGATCGCGCCGTCTGCCGCCCCGGACGCGACTCTCCCCAAGCGCGCGCCCGGGGGAGAGGACGCCCCCACCTCGCGGGCCGAGTCCAAGGCGGGCTGGGGGCCGGGCCGNGAGGTCTCCTTGAGGCTAGGGCCCGGGGCGGAAGAGCAACGACCACTGAGGCCTAGGGATCCCCAAGCGTCGCAGCACGGTGACAATCCCTCTCCTACGGCACGCTGTGAAACCCCTTGCAATTGGCCGTCTCGGGGCCCTGGGCGGGGCATCCATCTAATGTGCCCAATGAGCAGGCCCCGTACACAAGACCAAGTGCGGGACCGACCGACGGGAGGAGAAATGCAGACGCTCCCTAACCCAGGGGTTGGCCTGGGGGGAGGGGCGCAGGGGGTCCGGGCGGGTGGGGGAGGAGCTGGGGCAGCGCCGGGGCCCCCGGCCGGAGTCTCAGGTCCGCTCTGAACCCGTGCGCGAACGCCCGTCCATTCCGGCCATGCTGGGCTCCTCCCCGTCGGGCGGCCCCCGACCCCCGTCCCCTGGCCCAGGGTGGGAAAGAGGGAGCATTCTAAGGTCAGCCCCCTCCGCCCGTGGGCGCTTTGGGTTCAAGTGGCGGATGGTGACTCCGGCTTGCATTCATTCACGCCTTCGCCCTGGGTCACCTCCTTCCTCCGTTTCCTTCCATCCTCCCCACCCCCACCCCCGGCAGCCCCCTATTTGGCACTGTACTGAGACTGTTGGTCTCCATGGCAGACCCCCCCCCGCCAAGGCTGGTGTCCCAAGGCCTATGTCTGGCCCAGAGCTCTCTCAGCAGGTATTCAGCGCAGTGAGGATGGTCACTAGACTTGAGAAGGCCCCGGGCCGGGGGTGGGGTTGGGGTGAGGGCCTCTTCTGGGTCTGGTAGCTCCGCTGGACTGGGGAGGTAGTCTGCCTAGGGAACCTCTGGGTCAGCCGTGGCCCAGAGGGCCTGGTTATAGTGCCTTGGGTCCCAGGTAACGAAGACCAGAGGGCCCAGACTCCTTGAGCAGCAGGTGAGCATTCCAGGTCTCTCTGAGGCTCTGAAGTCCAAAGGGGTTGCCTGCTCCTGTGTCCCCACAGTGACCCAGCGTGGGCCTGTTCTGGGACACTGCGTCCCCTGTCTCTTCACTGTGGCAAATGCCAGGATCAGGGGCTTATCTGAGACATCTGTTCTCTGGGTCCCCAGACTTGGTTCGCTGGCTCTGAGTAGAAGTGTGCATTTTAACAAGTGTCCCACGTGGGCCTGCAATGCAGCACTTGACCACTGAGCTAGTTTTAAGAACCCCAGGAGCATGGGCTCAGTGCCAGCACCATCTTTCTTGTGAGGGTACCTGGAGGTTTGCACAGGGCTGCAGGGAGAAGTCACCCACCCAGACCAGTAACATTTGCCAGTGAAAAGTGGTGGCCATTGCTGGGGGAGTACCCTGGTGGACTGTGCCTGGTCATGTGCCCACTGTGGGGGTAAGGGGTAGTAGGTGTGATTGGCAGCTGCCTAGAGTAGGGGTAGCACCGCTAGCTCCCTCAGGTGGCTGTTGTGGGTCAGGCCGAGGGAGGTCTATGTGCAGGGGCTGCTGCTCCAGGGGCTGAGTTAAAAAGGAAGAAAATCCACATGCAACAGAATGAAATTGGACCCCTACCTCACACCACATACAGAACCAACTCAAAGACATAAACAGAAGAGCTCAAACTATAAAACTCTTAGAAGAAGGCGGAAAAATCTTTATGAGACTGGATTTGGCAATTATTTCTTGGATGTGACACCAAAAGCACAGGCAGCTAAAAAGGGAAAAATAAATGGTTCAAACGTCAAGATTGTGCATCAGAGGACATTATTACCAGGGTGAAATGGTGACCCATAGACTAGGAGAAAACACAGATTACATATCTGATAAGGGGTTAGCATTTAAAATACATAAAGAACGCCTACAACTTAACATCAACAGAATAAACCCAGTTCAAAATTGGACAAAGGGTCTGAAAAGACTTTTCTCCAAAGAAGACATGCAAATGGCCAATGAGCCATTTGAAAAGATGCTCAACACCACTAGTCACTAAAGAAATGCAAATTAAGGAGCATTGGCTGGAATATGGAGAAGCCTTGTGTGAGATAGTGGTTACATAAAACGTTTTCTGTGGTTACATAAAACGTTTTTGGTTCAATTGCCATGGAAAAATCTGGAAGGTGGGAAGGTCCAGGGCTTGCAAGGACTGCATCTGTCTCCCTGAGCTTGGGAACTGTCCTCAGAGAACCAAACTTCTGGACTTCCCACTCTGGGGGTATCTGTGGGTTGCAAGGCGTGCTGGGGAGGCATAGGATGGGTGCCCACGGACTGGGAAAGGGTGGGTCTTTATTTATGCTCCCATGTGTCCTGCAGAGAGCTGAACCACCAATGTGAGAAATATTTGATTGTCATGAGCCTTTCTGCAAGTGGAGGATAATGTCACCTGGGGCAGCTGGACATTGCTCTCAGTGGAGAAAGAACGTGGCCCCAACAGAGCCTGGCTCTCCTCCCACATGAAACAGACAGAGGTTGTGGGGTGGGGGTACCTTCCCACCTGGTCACAGGTTCATTCACTCCCTGCCTGGTCACTGAGCCCGGGGCTAAGAAAGGATTGGTTGGTTTTTATCTTAAGATGGGAGAACATGTTTGCTAGTACAAGACAGGGAGAGAGAAAGGGTGCTCAGGGGTGAGCTGGGCACGCCCCGGAGGGTCTGGGCTCCCACGACCTGAAGGGGGCACGCCTGCAAACGTTTTCAGAGCCCTCCCCTCCGCATGAGCCGTGGTCCAGCGTCTCCCCCTGGCACCCTATCAGACTCAGCCCCCCACATCTCAGTAGGCATTCCGAGGACGCCAGAGTCGCTGGCCACGTCAAGTCCCCTGCACTCGGCCCTCCCCTCCCCGCACTCAGTCAGCTCTGCCTCAAGGGTGAGGCTGAGGCCCGGGCTGCTGCTGCACCCCTGCGCCCCTCCCTTCCCCTCCCCCAGCACCGCTGCTAGGCCTTCCCCTCCTGCGTCCCCTCCTGCCTGCTCTAAGTCCCAGCCCCCTCGCGGTCCTCTCCCAGCGTCAGAGGGCCGACCTCGCAGGATCTACAGGCCTCGATTCGGGGGCGCTCCCCTGCAACCTGCGCCCAGCTTGAGGGAGGAGCTTTCAGGGTGCCAGGCGGGAGACCGGCGGCGCTCACCTAGCTCGGCGGGCGGCGATGTGACCGCGGCGCCTCGCCCAGAGCTCGGCCGCCAGGTGGCAGCAAAGCGCCGCCGCCGCCCCAGCTCGGCAGCCGCCGCGGCAGGTAAGGCAGGTTCGACCCCGGCCCGCCGCATTGCGCGGCCAGATTAGACCAGCCTTGTGTTTGCACACTCGGCAGCTGCTGAAAAGAGGCTTCCTACACAGCTGGATAAGGGGTGTCCCTGTGCCTTGCACCTAAAGAAACAACAGTGCAAACTCAACCACGCTCTGAGTTTGAAGCCTGATGGCCTTACCTGTCCCGAACCTGCCCAGATTCTGGCCTCACCTGTCCTTTCTTGTTAAAGTGGGCTGGGGATGGGAGAGAACAAGGATGCCAGGATGTGGAGAGGTGCTGAAGTAACCACAGCGGCTCAAAGGCAAGCCTTTCTCTTGGCTTTAAACTGAGGGATTCAGCCTCCAACTAATAAAAATAAATGGGGAAAAAAAAAAAACACTGAGGGATTCTATAAGCAGCTGGCATCTCTTCTTCATCCTGTAATTTGATGTGTCCTTAATGCAGGCTCCTTGAGCCTGGGAACTCTCTGTGGGCGCGTGTTCTCTGTCCCCACTCTGAGTGATGTGCTTAGAGCCAACACCAGCATGCTCCGAGGCCACTGTGACACATCCCTCCCAGCTTCCTGGAGCTCAGACTCCACGTCCTGGACTCCAGGCCCCAGTGGCATTCAGGACCAAGTGTGTGTGTCCCTGAAGCTGCCCGGGGTCTCTGTCCCTGGAAGCCTGTCCTCGAGTAGGGAGACAGTCTCAAAGGGCTGGTGACAGAGCCCTGGGGCAGGAGGGCAGCCCGCCTCCTTCCCTGTGCAGCCCGCCACCCATATCCAGGGCCTCTGCCAGGCTCACGGCCCGGGCCTTGCCCGCAGCTCTCTGCCAGGCAGGGCTTGTCTGGCTCGAGCAGAGGAGCCTGTGGAGGACCGGAGCTGGATGGTGGAGGCCGCTTGTCAAGGAGCCAGAGCAGCGGGGAGAGGGTGGCTGTAAGGTCAGGTGATAAGGGGGCGGCCCTTCCCTGCAGGTTGGGTTTAACACGGGAAGCTCCTTGCTATGTGACCCAGCACCCCCCTTCTTAGGCGAACATGCAGAAGAACTGAATCCAGGCATTCACACTGAAACCTGTCCACGTGTGTCCACAGCATCCCTGTTCATGGCAGGCAAGGGACAGGAGCAACCCACAGGCTCCTCAGGGGAAGACGGGTCAGCAGACCCTTCCATCCAGACGGCATGGTGTCCGGCCCACACCCCACACCACGTGGACATACTGGCAACGTGCTGAGCGAGCGAGGGAGGCCAGACGCTGAAGACCACAGAGCTTGTCTCCACTCGTACGAGATGTTCAGAATAAGGAAGGCCACAGGCAGACGGAAAGTGGATGGGTGGTCACCCGGGCCGGGGGCAGTGCGGGGAGGAATGGGGAGTTGTGCCTTCATGGGGATGGGTTTCCTTTCGTGCCTTGGAAATGTTCTAGAATCAGAAAGAGGTGGGAGTTGAATAACATTGTGAATGTACTAAATGCCACTGAATCCTTCACTTTAAATGGTTACAACAGCACTTTCGTAGTTTATGTGTGCTTTACAATAATCATGGTGATAATGTTCTGAAATCTTGCCTTCTGGTAACCCCTCAGTCCAGACGGGTCA